CATTCAGTACCCTTCTCCAGCACCACAGCTCAAAAGCATCCACTCTCCTTCTGTATACATATATAAATAATTTCCCCTCCCCTTTAGGTCTCTTATTTTTGTTAGGTAACACTGAGTTGACTAGGACTCACAGTGACCCTATGAATAACAGATCTGAATCGTGCCCTATCCTGAACTATTGCCACAATCTCTGTCATGTTCAAGCCCATCACCGTGTCATCCACAATTTTATAGTCGAAGGCAAAGAGTCAGTGAAAAAAAAATGAAGACCTTCAATGAGATGGGCTGGCAAGTCTTGTCTTAATATAAAACAAGGAAGCCTCAGGAAAGCAAATATCACACACTGAGTTGGTTAAAAGGTACCTGTTTCTGAGTACCAATTACTAACTGAGGGATGGCTTCTTGCTTTTTAATTTCACAGTCAATGGCATAACAATCTTAATGACCTTTAGATGAAAGTCTAAACCATGATAACCACCCTGAAATAGTTCATCTTGACTGCACAAGAAAGACACATAAAATGCTGTTGTTATGTACCTTTGAGTCACAATCAATTCACAGCTGACCTTTCAGTGGGTTTTTAGAGGCAATAAATTGGAGGAGGCAATTGTCCATCTTTCTCCCATGTAGCAGCTGGCGATTCAAATTGCACGCCTTTGGGCTGGCAGCACAACTTCTTAACACTAAGCCACCAGAGCTCTCTCACAACGTGCATACATACATACACACAACAACAGCACAAGATTTTAAAGGGCTTTGCCAAATTGAACCTGGTTTGAATTTCTATAGTAAATGAGAAGTGCCAGTTTGTGAACACTAGAGGGCAGTAAAACATTAAAAGGTGAATTTAAATAACCTCTAAAAGTGGAAAAAGTAAGTATATTCTTTAGGGGACAAAATGAAAGTAACAATTTAGCAAATATATTCCTGCAAAGTTGCTAAATTTACAAAGCATTCTTGAATATATCATTATAAGAAGAACTTACTTTGCAAAATCCAAATAAGAAACATGTCCATGATAAAATCCTGGCTTCATCTCTTTCCAGGAAGTTATGTTCTTTACAAAGCGTACCTTAAAAAAAAGAAAGAACGAATACATTCACTAATACAATTTAAGAAAAATAAACTTTGGTAATGATAAAATACTTTTCACTTAGTTGCAAACAAATCACACAATGTTAACAATTACAGAGCTTGAAACCACAAGATAGCCTAAGGTGAGTATAATCTGTAATTACTAATCATCACAGAGAAAGTTCATTATAGTCAGAAGAACTGTTAGATCATCTCAAAAACAAAATTATAGAATACAAACATGGAATGTGTTTATCCTCTAGATATGCTAAAGCAGGCAGCACTGTAGTACACAGACATTCTCTGCATATTCAGCTATTAATACAATTTATAAGCATTTAAGGCTAGAGACTTACACAACAATGAAACAAAAAAGAAAAAGAAATAAAATCTTGAAAATCAGAAAACATGAAGATGACTTTACAGAGTTACAAACACTTAACACACCTTCAGGAGCCTTCTGGTTGACTCCTACTTACAGTAACCTTTAACAGTATCACGTACTGGCCATGCTGAATCTTCCTCACAATCTGTGCTGTTTTTAAGCCCTTTGTTGTGGCAACTGTGTTGATCCATCTTGTTGGAGGTCTTTCTCTTTTTCACAGACCATCTACAAATATACTATGTCTTTCTCGAGGGACTGGTCCTTCCTTGCAACCTGCCCAAGACAACTTAACACCTTTATCTCCAATGAGTATTCTGGTTGCACTTCATCCAAGAGAGATTTATTCTTCACCAATATAAAAAATGTTTCTCTTATTCTATGATCACCTTCTCTCTCTCTTTTTTAATCTTCTTTATTCATTGTCCAACTTTCACTAGCACACGAGGTGGTGAAAATACCATGGCTTGTATGAGCGGCATCTTAGTCCTCAGTGGCATCTTTGTCACTGCCCCATAGATGACCCTCTAGTAGATTTTCAGAGGCAGTTAATCTCATGGAAGGAGAATGCCCACCCTTTTCCTGTGGAGCAGCGGGTGGATCTAAACTGTGTTCCTTCAGGATTTCAGTGCAGCTTCTTACCACTTAGCAGATGGGTCTATAAAGTGATTAATAACACCAAGGGAACACCCTCCTTAGAGCAATCAACTATGTAAGAGCAAAAGGGCGACACCTATGCAAGGATAACAGTATGAAAGCCAAAGGGACAGCAAAGGACAGAGAATGAAAATGGAAACACAGGGAAAAAAGAAAGAGGCCTATTACAAAGGGAGATTGAAATCCAGGTTTCAAAACATAGTGTTTATGGATTGTTAAATGGAAAATCAATTTGTTTTGTTAACTTTAAGAACTCGAGAAATCCAAGTAGTATCTGCTACAAAGTGTTGACAATTTTGCAAAGAAAAAAAATCTTGGAAGATTTTTAATAAATGAATCTCTGCATGATAAATAGCAAGTGGTTAAAACTGTACTCTGGATGTAGTAAGGGCGGTATGTGTTAGTGTGTTTATGTAGGGGATGGGGGTGATGGTTAGCAATACGTTATATTGTACTGAAAGCGTTTATAAGGTGTAACTTGAGTCTCTAAAGCACAAGATTGCCAACTGCATAATTATGACAATTTGTCAAATGCTCATTTACATTTTAGAGTAGAAGATGTGCACATGGTGATATTTTAGAGCACTTCATAAGGGATTAGAGTTAATAAATTAATAGCAATGGAAGATGATGGGCTGCCTCTTGAATAAACTATGGATATTTGGATATGATCTCTGACAGCAGACATTCCCAATGCAATTCATCTTTTAATTTCCTGGCTGCTGGTGCCAAGAATGTTGATTGTGGAGCCAAGCAAGCTAAAGCTGTTAACAATCTCAATCTCTTCACCATCCACCACGATGCTGCCAATCGGCCTAGTGGTGAGAATTTTTGTTTTCTTGATGTTGAGCTTCAATTCATATTGAAGGCTGCAGTCCTTGACCTTCTACAGCAAACATTTCAGGTCATCCTCAGTTTCAGCAAGCAGGGTATCATCTGCATAACGCAGATAGTTGATGAGTCTTCCTCCAATCCTGATGCCACATTTCTCTTCATAAAGCCCAGCCTCCCAGATTATCTGTTTTGCATATAGATTTAAAAAGTATGGAGATAGGACACATCCCTGGCATACACCCTTCCCAATTTTGGACCACACAATATTCCCTTGCTCTTTTCTGACGACTGCCTCCTGGTCCAAGTATAGGTTTCACATAAGAATGATAACACATCTGGGATTCCCATTCTTCTTAGAGTTAGCCACCATTTGCTGTGGTCCACATACTCAAATGCCTTTGCATTGTCAATTAAACACAGATAGACATTCCTCTGGTACTCCACTTTTAGCCCAGATCCATCTAACATTAGCTATAATATTCCTAGTACCACAGCTTCTTCTAAACCCGGCCTGCACTTCTGGTAGTTCTCTGTTGACATGCTATTCCAGTCGTTATATAATTAATCTTCAGCAGAATCTTGCTTACATGTGATATTAATGATATTGTCTGATAATATCTGCACTCTCTCAGGTCACCTTTCTTTGCAGTGAGATTATAGATCTATTTCAGTCAGTTGGCCCGGGGGTTGTCCTCCACATTTCTTGGCACAATTTGGTAAGCACATCCAGGGAAGCATCTATTTGTTGAAATATATCAACTGGTATACTGTCAATTCCTAAGGCCTTGTTTTTTGCCAATTCCTTCAGAAGAGCTTGAATTTCTTCCTGCATCATTACAGGCTCTTGCTCATACATTGTTTCATGAAATTCTTCTGTGCCCACCAATTCTTTTGGTGCAGTGACTCTGTATACTCTTTCTATCTTCTTTTAATAATTCCTGGATCATTTAATATTCTGTCCAAAGCATCCTTAACTATTGCAATTTGAGGCTTGAATGTGTTCTTCAGTTCCTTGACCTTAAGAAATGCTGAGTTTGGCTTCTTTGATTTTCTCACTCCAGCTCTCTGCATATCTCATTGTAACACTGTGTCTTCCCGTGCTGTCCTTTAAATCTTCTGTTCAGCTCTTTAAAAATATCTTGATTTTTGCTTTGGCATCTCAGCACTCTAGTGCATTATTCAGAGTCTCTTCTGACATCCATCTTGGTCTTTTCTTTCTCCTCTGTTTTTTTAAAGACCCCCTGCATTTTTTCCTGGATGATATTCTTGATATCCTCCCACAGCTCATCTGCTCTTCGCTCATTAGTGTTCAAAGCTTCAAACCTGTTAATGAGATGGTTTTGAAATTTAGGTGGGATAGACTGACAGTCATATTTTTGTTCCTGTGGATTTGATTTAATTTTTCTTAGTGTTAGCTTGAATTTGCATATGAGTAGGTGGTGGCCTGTTCCACAATCAGCACCTGGATAAGAACCAGAGAGCTGGACAATGACTGGGGATGACAGAAGGAGAATTGATGCTTCTGAGCTGTGGTATATCCAATATTCTTCTCCAACACACCATGGACTGCTAAGAAAACAAACAGATTCATCCTTGAGAGGGTAAAACCAGGCTTCTCCGTGGAGGCCAGGATTCTGAAGCTTCATCTGACAAACTCTGGACATGTTGCAAGGTGGGACCAGTCCTTGGAGAGGACGTCATGCTTGGGAGGATAAAGGGACAGAGAAGGAGAGGAAGAAGACCCTTGATGAGATGGACTGACTCAGTGATTGGGGTAATGGGGGTAGGAAGGTCAGAGACAGTGAAGTTGGCATAGGATAGAGCAGGGTTTAGGGCTGTTACACATAGGGTTGCTATGAGTCACAGGCCACTCGACAGCACTTAACAACAACAACAATATGGATAGGCAGGGTATGAAGACAGGGAACAAGCCACGGCATTGCAGGGAATATGAACTAAGGGGGAAGTGAAGGGTTCTGGAAGTAGAATTCTTTTTAGGGCAGGTATCAATGAATCATATACTAAGAGAAAGAAAAGTTTGGAAAGGGAAATGGCATGAGACTTAATATTCTCCCAACATGCCTTTAAAATAAAATCTGAAAGCTAAATGTAGATAAAAGGAACTACACTGCATTAGGAAACATACAGTGTCATTTTACTAGCTATTTTCAATTTTCCTCCTACAAAAACAGAATGCCAAATAAATATGAGATTTGAAGTTCTCATTTGAGATTTTATTTCTCATTTGTTCAAGTAGGGCTCCAAATGAAATGAAAATATCAAATGGCAAATGAGAAAGAAATAAAAACAACAGATAAACGAAAAACGGAATCCTTAAAAATGTATGAAAGCTTTTTATAACTCCCTTTTCTTATTTGTAAAATATAGTTCTAGAAGGCAAAGACAAGGAGGAATTTGAAGATGTGCTTAAAGGGAGATTAAGATTCATTTAATAACTCAGTTTCCCCCCCCCCCCCCGCCTTAGGATTTATTTGTACAAATAACACAGGAGGACACCAGCCCCATGTAGATGGCAGCAGCCCAGGGGGTCACACCTGTCCTTCTGTCCTCAGATGGAGAACTCAATTATGGAGCCTTTGCAGGGGCCTGGGCACCTTTAGGAGCCTGGCTTGGAGCAGGAGCCTGGGTTGAGGCCTTAGCTGGCGCCTGGGCTGCCGTTTTGGCTGGCGCCTGAGTTGAGGACTTTGCTGGAGCTTCGGCCTTACTGTCAGGCTTGGCTTTGGATTTTGGCAGGTTAAGCCTGAGCCCCTTGGCAATTCGGGCCGGAACACGCTTCCCAAGCCTGGGATGGGTTATGTAGGCGAGTCGGCTGAGCTTGCAGTTGACACCCCTTGGGATCCTGGGCTTGACCTCTTTGGGCCTGACACGAGCCTTCACAGCCTCAGCACGTTCATCCACGGCCTTGGCATTGTTGGCCTGCATCTTCTTCAGGCCCTTGTTGTTGTGCTTCTTGGCAAAACGCATGTTCCTGAGGAATTTGGGGTCTATCCCCTTAAGAGACTCATATCGTTGTGATCTTGGTTTCTTGATACCATTTCTGTGCCATTTTCAGGACTGGTTGTGTGTGGTGTGGTTCTTGGACTTGGCCATGTCTGCACCGTCAC